GAGGTTGTGGAATCTCCATCTCTGGAGATATTTAAGAGTAGGTTAGATAAATGTCTATCAGGGATGGTCTAGACAGTTTTTGGTCCTGCCATGCGGGCAGGGGACTGGACTCGATGACCTCTCGAGGTCCCTTCCAGTCCTTGAATCTATGAATCAGACCCTTCAAGGTATTAGGTTTCTAACTCTCATTGAAATCAATGAGTCTCTCAGGGTCTCCATTCCCCTGCCGCACAGGGACATTGTGAGGACACCTGTGTTACAGATTGCAAAGTGCTTAGGTATTGTGATCATGGAGGGCGGACAAGGACCCAGGAGAGAATCTGAGGTTGATTCATGTTCTGTAGCTTTCAGAGTAGTAGCCGCGTTACTCTGTATCCGCAAAAGGAATAGGAGTATCTCTAAGGTGCCACAAGTACTCCTGTTCTGTAGCATGTCTAGCCCTTTCCAATCTAAACTGGCACTTCTGTAACAGAAACAGGTGAGGTTCTTTGCGTGGTTTGTGCCGTCCTAATTATACCTTGATTAAGTAGCCAGAAGCGATTAACTGCTAAGCAGCCCAGGTTTTTCCCCTCTTCTAACCGTTCCCTAGCAGGAGTAAGGATAAAAACATGAAACATAAAATCGACCCATGAGCAGAGCTGTTTCCCTGTGTTCTACATTTAGAGCAGCAAGAAAACACAACAGCTGAGAACCATCTCAGGGCTTATCCCCTCCAGAATGAACACTGAATACCCCCTAGATTCTCAGTTAAGCCAAGGCCACTTTACAAACCCCCTGGCAGTGTAACGAAGCCTTGAAATGGCAGGATGGTACCCACTTTAAAGCCTCTTCACACTACCAGAATGAGGCCTTTAGGATAAATGAGACTCATCCCCTCTATCACGGGTGTTGCCAGCTAAATCATAGTGAATAATTTATTTACTTCCCTTCCTTTTTGCAACTGGTCTGCAAACAGGCTGAAAAATTATCAAATGTGTTCGCTGATCAACGGGTATTTGGCTAGCTCTTTGGGTCTCGCACCATCCAAAGTGCAACGCACGCCGCGTCGGTTAGTTGCACGCGTCACACGAGGTTGCTTCTGAACTGGAGCTGGTGGACATTTTTCAATCACCGACAAGTCGAAATAAATGTTGACAAAATGTTTGTGGCCTTGCCTTGCCTTTTCCAGCCCTTTTGGGTTTGAAACATTTCAAAATATCAGTAAACTTGGGAGTGTTTTTATGACAATTTTCATGGTTTCTTTTCTCAAAACCAAGGCATTGTGATTCTGAAATGCTGCCACAGTGAATCATGGGAGTTGTAGTTCGGGTGCTTCATGCTTCCATTCTCCCTTGTGGGCTGGACTCACTGGTCATACTCCATCTCCCATGATGCACTACAGTCTCCCGTTTTGATGCATCATGGCAGTCATGTGGCCATGGTGCATTGTGGGAGATGTAGTCTGACCAGGGAGCTTAGCCAATAGAGGAGAAAGGGAGCATGAGGCCCTAAAACTATAATTCCTATGAAGCACATGGCGGCATTTCCAAAACAAAATGTTTCACTTTGGGGGTGTTCTGTTTTTGGATGAAACATCAAACTGTCTGCACAGAGCAGGTGTTTTTTGTGAAAAAATCCATTTAGCTGAAAACCTGATTTTCCCCTCAAACATCACTTTTGATGGAAAATCTGCAATCAGCCTTCTGGGCTCAAGATTTCTGAACGATACCATAGATGGGTTAAATAGGAGAGAAGTTTGTCAATGATCAACCAAAATCTTGTGATTGGCTTAAAAAAAAAAAAAAACCAACCTCCTGAGTTTTGAACACTGGGGGTTGGCCACACTTCCCCGGTAAAGAAATGTCTTCCTGTAAATACAGTTTTTAACTTAACCATTGCTTCCCCTTATGCCCATGTCAAGCCAGATTTTAAAGACGATTTCCCAGCGCCCACAAATGGGGTAATGGAGTATTGTGTCCAGTTTGGGGCCCCCCACCGCAGAAAGGATGTGGACAAATTGGAGAGAGTCCAGCGGAGGGCAATGAAAATGATTAGGGGGCTGGGGCACGTGGCTTATGAGGAGAGGCTGAGGGAACTGGGGTTATTTAATCTGGAGAAGAGGGAGGGGGGATTTGATAGCTGCCTTCAACTACCTGAAGGGGGGTTCCAGAGAAGATAGAGCTTGGCTGTTCTCAGTGGTGGCAGATGACAGAACAAGGAGCAATGGTCTCAAGTTGCAGTGGGGGAGGTCTAGGTTGGATATTAGGAAACACTATTTCACTAGGAGGGTGGTGAAACACTGGAATGGGTTCCCTAGGGAGGTGGTGGAATCTCCACCTGTAGAGGTTTTTAAGGCCCGGCTTGACAAAGCCCTGGCTGGGATGATTTAGTTGGGGTTGGTCCTGCTTTGAGCAGGGGATTGGACTAGATGACCTCCTCCTGAGGTCACTTCTTAATTTTTTTTAAATATGGAGCTATATCTCAGAACTGGAAGAGACCTTGAAAGGTCATTGAGTCCAGTCCCCTGCCTTCACCACAGGACCAAGTACTATCCCTGGCAGATTTTTGCCCCAGATCGCTAAATGGCCCCTTCAAGGATTGCACTCATAACCCTAGGTTTAGCAGGCCAATGCTCAAACCACTGAGCTATCCCTCTCCCAACCCTAATCTTCCATGATTCTGTGATTTCCCCTAGTGCTCATCTCCTCTTGATGCCCCTAAATCAGGGCCAGATTTTTCACAAGGGCTCAGCATCCCATTAGGCTATTGAAGGCCAGAATTTAATGTTCTGAGCTCCCTTGATAATGGAGCCACTTATTTTGGTACGTTAAGGGGCTCTTTGGGAAAATCCACCTCTGACTGCGAGGGCCGAGCCCTGCAAAAGGTTCCATCCCCTTAGTTGTGACACTGGTGCAATTAAACTCCTCCGCCTAGGCTGGCGCTTTGCTCCTTCCCCAGCAAAACAGTGGCCCTGGGTTGACTCCAATCAAAATTTCATTTCTGTGAACAGGAAATGGGCCCTGCTTGTCCCCTGACGGGCTGGGATTTTGTGTTTGCTCAAGGGCTGGGAACTGATTACCTTTTTGATTTGTCCCTTTTTGATGGTCCTTTATCACAATCTCCCCCACCCCACCCCCCACACACATACGGCCTACGTTAATTGCAGTATTGCAGAGCAATTCATAAATCAGATGGCTGGGAGTGAATTATAGCTATAGGAACAAGTGAATCATATTTTCTCCCGAAGAGCTTCTCTACACACAAGCTTTAATTACACTGGTATAGTTAAAGCAGTATGACACTCTCAGTTTTATTGGTATAAAGGTGCTTATCTGTAGCCATACTAGAGGGGTAAAACATCTCTTTTCCTGGAGGCGGGGTCCCTGTGACCAAAAGGGAAAGGGCTCTACCATTATAATAATTCCTACAGCTTTTCAACAGCAGATCTCAAAGCACTTTCTGAAGGAGGTTGGGATCATCCCATTTTACTGATGGGGAAACTGAGGTACAGAGCAGGGCCTTGACTTGCCCTGGGTCACCCAGCAGGCCAGTGGTAGAGAAGGGACTAGAACTCATGTCTCCTGAGTCCCAGTGCTCTGTCTCCTAGGCCACACTGCACCTTTATTACGTCCACACTCGGAGTTCGACGGATTTAACCCCATTCACTTGGAAGATCCTGCCAAACTCGTTCAATGGGCACAAACCCTGCGTGACGAACGGGTTTGTTCTCTCCCCACCCCCGACATTCCTACTCGACTTCAATAGGAGCTGATGGAGCTCAGCACCAATCACAATCAAGCCCTTAGGATGGATTTAACCCTTTTAACCCTTCATGTGCTGGATAGCGCTGTGGAAGGTTCCCTTGCTAAGGAATCCAGCTCCTCCAGCGGTTCGGGGGCGGCCTCGGCCTGGCTAACACTTGTGCTTCCACACAGCTGGAAGCATTACGAGGGGTTATGTTTTCAGCCGCGGTGTAGTTCCTCATTAACCTCTGTCCTGGAGCTAAATCAGGTGCTGGCAGCCGCGTCAGCGCCGCCTTGATTTAGACTTTGACACAGGCTGGAGTCGATAATACCTCACGCGAGCCCCATAAATCTGGAAGCCAGAGAGTTGGCTTCCCCCCCCGCCCCCAGCTGATCTTGCTGAATCCAGCCTTGAAAACAGAGCCATCTTCTGTCTGGCCAGAGTTCGAGGCTGGGGGGCGCCCGGCAGAACAGAGATGGGCTATAAGAACAAGGACATCTGAGGTTTAAGGTCAGTGGGCAAGGACCCCATGGGCTGAGCGTGTCACGTAGGAACCCCAGAAATGGATTCAGAGGTGAGTTTGTCTGGAGGGACCACACACACACACACACTCACTCCTCTGTCCAGGGAAAGTTATGCCACTGTTTACTAAGCCAGACTGATCCCTGGGGTAACCAACCCCATTGGCCTCGGGGTTACAGTGCAGTTGACGATTGCTTTGGCCCCGTGTGCTTGGTGGGTGGGTGGGTCGGGGACACTGCCCTGCTGGAAGATCGTAGTTCAATTCCTCACCCCCCCCCGCACTGCTTAGGCTGGGGGAATTGCCCAGAACGGGGGACGCGATTTGTGCTGCTCAGCGTAGATGTCCCTCCCGCCCCAGGGCTGCCAGCGGGACTCTGAAGAGGAAACCCACCTGGCCCTCTTCGGCGAGGGTGCCACGCCGGGCCTGTGGGAGGCGTGGCTCTGTAAAAAGCTCTTGAATCGGGGTTTGGCCATTGCTCCGCAGACCCGGCAGGAGGTTGCACCCTCCTTAGAGAGGTCAAGAGGTGCACGCGTGTAGGTCTTCGAGTCCCAAGCCCCCTTGTGGGGTGGAAGCGGGGAAGGTCCCGGGATCTGCAGGCATGCGCTGAAGTCCTCGTTAAGATCTAGAGTCCTCTGTGGGTTTCAGTCCCTGGACGGTGGCAAGACCACGACAGGACGGGGTCTCCTGCGACGTCTGCCCTCTCAGCGGCTGCTGGTGGCAAATGAAGCCAATGGAAACGTCCAGGAGGGAGCCACTAAACTCGAATGCAGGCGCCATCCGGCTCATCAGACCGGTCGTCAGCAGGGAAGAGGTTCGCTTGGCTCTGGGGCTTTTGTGGGATGCACTGTGGAAATAAGAGCCACAAAGTCCCTCTTTGTTCCCCCCCAAGTCTTGGGGTGTTAGGGCTAGAGGAAGGAGCCCTGGCTGAAGCTCCAGCTCCAGCGTCAGGTCCTGGCATTTCTAACAGGAATACAGTGGAATCGCTCTCGCCAGCCTGCATCACAAAAGACCTCCAGTCAGGTTGGGTGCAAAAGATCACGCCCCGTAGCACGACCAGTGCGAACGGCAACCCCATGCCCTGCTAGCCCAGGCTCCTCTGCTGTTAGCCCAAAAGCCATCCATGTGTCTTAGAGGCCGTGATTCACCAGCGGTCACTTCGGCATCTCCTCGTTGACGCCTGCCCCAGGGCTGCCCCTACCTCGCCCTGCGGGCTGGCCTCCTCGGCTCTCAGCTCAGGCACGATGGTGACGGTGGTGGATAGCAGGGCGCATTCCTTCTCTGCCACCTGTAGGCCGCTGGGGCTGCCCCTCCGGTGCAAGGGCAGTGCCACCTGGGTGGTGCCCTCGTCCCTTGCCTGGCCGGTGGAGGAAGGCAGGTAGGAGGAAGCCTGGGCCAGGAAGCTCAAGAAAGCATCTTTCAAAGCCCTGCGGAACTCCCTCCGCATCAGGCAGTAGACGACAGGGTTGAGGCAGCTGTTGCTGTGGGCCAGGCAAGTGGTGAGGGGGAAGATGTAGGTGTGGAGGAAGTAGAAGGTCTCGTCCCAGGGGACAGCCCCGAACTTCACCAGGGCTCCCCAGAAGGTCACCACGTGGTTGGGGAACCAGCAGACGAAGAAGGAGGTGACCACGAGCCAGACGGACGTGGCGATCTGGCTCTGCCGCCTGGGGTTGTTGGCGTTGACCCGGTGCTGTTGGAGGAAACTGAGGAGCAGCAGGTAGGAGGCCAAGATGATGACCAAGGGCAGCACGAAGGCCACCAACACTTTCTGGAGGTGATACACCCCCAGCCACCGGTTGGTGGGGAACTTGAGCAGGCACAACTCCACCCCGACCACATCTGTCACCGTGGCAAAGATGGCGGTGGGTACGGTGGCTGCCAAGGCCACGGCCCAAAGAGCCACGGTGATCCACTTGGCCAGGTTGGCGGTCAGCTTGAGGCCGGGCCTGACGGCGGAGGCCACGGAACAGTAGCGGGTGACGCTCATGGTGGTGAGCAGGAAGACGTTGGCGTAGACGCTCAGGACGGTCAAGGTGAGGACCAGCTTGCACATGGCATTGCTGAAGGGCCAAGTGAAGTCCAGGGCCGTCTCCACCGCCCAGAAGGGCAGGGTCAGGGCGAAGTGGAAGTCGGCCAGCGCCAGGCCGAAGACGAAGACGTCTATGGCGGAGGCCGGCCTGCCCTTCCGGGCCCGGACCAAGTACATGACCATGGAATTGCCCAGCAGCCCCACGGCGCACACCACCAAGTAGACGCTGGAGATGAGGATCCGCAGGCCGAAGATCCCGTCCGCCGGGACGGAGGCCGCATCATCCCCGCTCAGCCCCCAAGAGTCCAGCAGAGATTTGTTCCCGAAGTCGGGTCGTGCCGAGCTGTTCGACTGCCCGATCCCCCCTGCCTGCATGTTCAACACCCTCTCCTCCCAGCTGGCGGGTAAGGGTTGTGGCACTGGGGATGTACAGCACCCGGCGCGCGGAGGAGGAGAGCGGCCCCTCTGCTCACCATGTGGCCGGCGCAGCCATCCTCGCCCGAAGCCAGCCCGTTCCCCGTCAGTGCTCTTCCACGCAGCTCTGCTCACCCTGAGTGCACACGCCGCTGGGTCCGCGGCACGGGAACGGGGACGGCCCCACGCAATAAGCCAGCAGCGGCTCGCACAGCCGGGAGGGGGAATCCTTCAGGCCCGGGTCGGCCCTTGAGCTCCTGAATCACCCCAATCCACCCCTCGTAATCGACGCAGGCAGGCCGATCTCCTCTCTCCTGCGCTCCTGAGTCCAGCAGCACAGGGGGTGTGGACTGAACTGTGCAAGGCAGGAGAGCTGCCTTGGGTGTGTATGTGACACTCTAGCGACTGAAGGCCGGCCCTCCCGAGGGGCAGGGCATGACTCCTCCTTCGTTCCTGGGGCAGGTGGAACAAAGGTACCTCTTCCCCCCCCCACCCACACTGCTAGACTCTCTGTTCAGCTGTTTACCTGCAGCCACTGCTAAGGTGAGACTTTCGAAGCCACCGCTGGTGCATGCAGCAAGCCCGGCTGGAGCACAGGCCCTGGGGTGACTCAGGAATGAATGAGCCAGTGGGGTCTGATTCTCCATTGGCTCTGCCATGGCTAGCACCCCCTTTGTGCTGGTCTAAGTCACTGCACCAGGTGACTAATCTAGTTACCCTGGAGGTAGGGAGATCCGAATCAGGCCCAGCGTGTGTGTGTGTTGGGGGGGAGGGGTATTTTAAAGGGCCAGTGTCAGGACTGGGTCCCACATTCAGGTTTTTTGTAGAAACAAAATTCTAATGTCAGTACCGATGTTGCCCTCAATTTAAATTCCAATGGAAACAAATCAACTTCCCTCAGCCTGGGGGGGGGGGTTGCAACGTAACCATTGCGCGGCTGTTGTGTTAGGGCAGGAGACTGAACGATGACCTGAGCACGTTGCAAGCAGCGCTCCTTCCCTGCAGCCAGGGAACGGGTACGGAGAAGGGGCTTGACTTGCTCAAGGTCACCCAGCAAGCCGGTGCCTGGTGAGTCGGAGCGCCCAGCTCCATCCACTAGACACTGCTGCCTCGCTGGGCAGTTGTGGCCCACTCCTGGCTCTGACCCTAGAAGGGTCCTCTTTCTGTGCCTCAGTTTCCCCATCTGTCAAATGCTTTATGCTCTCTGGTTTAAAAAAGTGCTAGAAGTGGAGAGGAGAAACTGACAGTATGGAAACTGACCAGTGCAGTGTCTCTGCCCCCCGAGACACACCATGCTTGTCAACGGCAAACTCCTGCTGATTTCTGCCAGGTTAGGACCCCCAGGTCTGACCCGTGATTTCTAATCAGGTGCTGTCCCTTTAAGTGTATCTCCAACGTCCAGGTGATTGTGCTCCGGGCAGCTGATCAAAGCCTGGGAGTGCCCTAGCTGGCTTTTTTCCCCTGGGAAATCCGGGATTTAAGGGTGCTGAGGGGCAAGCGCCCCTTGCAGCCCCTATCTTCCACCAACGGGCCGTGCCTAGAGCCCGGCAACCCAACAGGACCAGACTATGAGCGCCGGCTGGGAAAAGAACCAGATCCCCTCCCACTCTGCAGCCCCCACAGCATAGCAGGGGCAGTGGCCGGCAGGGGCACGCAGTGACCCCAGGGGCTGGAGGAAGTTGCACTGGCTCAGGGGGTAGGGCTGGGTCTGGGTGGGGCCTAAAAACTAGGCCAGGGGAGGCCTTTCCTGGAGGGACCCCCTGGCCTAGCTATCTTGGGTATTTGGATGGCTCCCATCACTGCGCCAGCCGAACGCCTCACAGTCTTTGATGTATCACAGCCCCCTGGGAGGCAGGGCAGTGCTGCTCTCCCCATTGTCCAGATGGGAAACCGAGGCACCGAGCCACCTAGCGACTCTCCCACAGGGAGTCTGTGGCAGAACTGGGCCTTGAACCCGAGTTGCAGGCTAGTGTCCTAACCCCTGGCCCATCCTCCCTCCAGCCAGTCCTTGATCTCTGCCGAGGTTGTAAACAAGGGAGCCGGTTTTGCGCTGGTGACAGCTGAGGCCTGGCCTTTCGTCTCGCCACCTGGTGCCATCTTGAGAGCTTTGGGATCCCAACCCCCCTGGGAGCCTGGCGCCGAGAGTGTCCCCGGACAGCTGAGCCCTCATGTCCCCCGCACCTGTCTCTCCGCTGGACACCTTAACAGGACAATAGCAACCAACTTCAGGGCAGTTTCTTCTGCCCTTGCCAGTGATTTAACATGCGGTGATTGCCTGGTTTGTTTGAGTTGGCAGCAAGAGGCAGCAATAAAGTACCGGGCAATCCCGGGTGACGAAGGAGCCCTGCAATCCGTTCGAGCACACAAAGCCCCAGGTTTATGAGGGCTAAGGCCGAGCAGAGCACCTCAGACCCGATCCCAAGCGCCTCAGCTCCCTGCAAACCCTGGACGTGACAGAGCACCTAGGGCCCAGAGTTTTGCAGTGGCATAGGAGCCATGTTGGTTGCAGGATAGGAGAGACATGCAGCGGGTGAGGTGACACCTTTTATTGGACCAACTTCTGGTGGGGGAGGGGACCAGCTTCCAAGCGTCGCGGAGCTCTTTCTCAGGGCTGAGACAAGTAACCCGGGTCGCCACGCTAAACTCAAGGAGGGAGCAATTGTTGGGTGACGTGTGTTGTAGGAGACCACTTAAAAGCGAGCAGTTAACACCTCTGCAGTCCTAGGACGATGGAAGGTTAGTAGCGGAACGTAATTTGTGCCGGGCTTTGCCGGGCTCACCGGCGCAGCTCCGGCACCAGCGGTGTTGTCCTAAATCCGAAAGTACCGGAGGCCACGCCGTGCTCCTCAGATGGTGTCCTCCGCGCAGCGTCCCCGTACGTGAGCCCCGGCCCCTCATTCTTTACAAGTTCTTAGCAGGCTGTAGGGCGTGCTATAATTGGTTGTAATGGGCCACAAATGGGCCACAGTGTCTCAGATCAGTCCCTGGTTTTGAGCCTCCGGTAGAATTGACGTTCCCAGGCTCGTGGGTGGAAGGGGCTGTGTGGGTTTCCTTTGTCATGGGGATGCCCGCGCTGAGACCCACCAACCGGCGTGGCCCCGTGGCTAGGGGCCAGAATGGGAGTTAGGACTCTAGCCTCTCAGTGACTCGGATGAGTCGCTTCTCTCCACTCCCCCTGTGTAACGGGTGAATGACGATGTTTGCGCTCCTTTCCCACGTGCTAGCTGGCTGGACGGTGCCAATGAGAGCTTGATGCTGTTACTAAACCCTATTATCTTATTGCAGTCTGGTTCCCCAGATCTATCCTGCAGAGGGAGGGGTGCATCTCACCTCAGCTGCCCTGGGGTCATGCTGCCCTCTGGGACTGGTTGGGATTCATCAGGAAAATGGCCCTCACTGCATGCATGTCCGTCTCTCCCCATCCTGTGGAGCACAGGCGCATTGGTGAGGGGGCCAGGAGCGCTGGATTCCCGGCGCAGCACTTCCACAGACTCACCGTGAGGGCTTGGGGACGTCACTTAGCTGCTGCGGCTCGACGACGTACCTGTTAAAAACAGGAGCAACTGTCCCTATTTCACAGGGGTGCGAGGAGGTTAAAAGTTGGGGAGGTGCCCAGATACTACGGGGATGGGCACCAAATAAATATGGAAATTGGGTTCCCAATCTGCCCGTCTTCCTCTTGCGTGGGGGTGCTGCCCTCTGCTGGTGGATTATTTCATGAGCGAGGCTCCTGGCCCAGCCCGGAAATTGACCCTGTTTCCCGAACAGTTTCAGTTTAGATGAATCGGCTTGTTCACAAAAAACTCCCAGCCAGCGCTAGTCAGAGTATATGTGTGTGTCAAGGGGGAATGGGTGTATGCCTGTGTGTGCGAGTGTATCTCGGGGTACAGGTTGTACGGAGCCCATATGTTTTGGGTGTCTAACAAAGCCATGTCTGTTCTCTACAGAGCCCACCAGGCCTCCTCTGTGATGTCCAAGCAGGTCAAATAGGGGCAGGGGACTTGATTGTCTTGGAAGTTTGATCTGTGTCCCCTCGTGTGTTGTTCCCCTGCTCATCGTCCGTGCGGGCTCTGCTTAACGAAGAATGCAAACTCTGGCGCGTGGTCCCGGTGCCTCCGTCGGACCCTGACACTAACCGGCGTCTCTAATGGAGCCGAGGCTGCAGTTGCTTCTGGTGGCATGGCAGGAAACGTCTCTCCTTTTAAACCCCGGAACGAACGCTCTCGGAGATCAGATCTTGGGCAAGCCCAGGCTGGGCCTGAGCCATCAGCAGGTGCGCGGGAGGCGGCGAGGGGAGGGGACGAGGCTGGCCCTCGAGGCAGAAGGATTAGCTTCAAACGCTTCCCAGACGCAGCACGCCTCTTCCCTTTGACAGCAATTACCTGCTCAGCAGCTGGCGCTGAGTCCCTCTGGGGCGCTGGTCCATGGCCGTCCTCACCCAGCCCTCCTCAACGCCGGGGACCCCGGCCCGCTCTCTCGGGCCCCCGTCCTGAGAAGCGAGGGGTGCGGCTTGGGGATGGTGTGAGCCCGGCGCTCGCCCTGGTGCAGGTTGGTTTCTCGACAGCGGGGAGGCACCCTGGAGCGGGACGGTGGGCACCATGAAGAAGATGTTCTCCTGTTCCACCTCGCAGGTCGCGGTGAGTCAGCTCCGCCGAGATCTTCCCCTTGCCCTGAGCTGGCCGGCGTGGCAGGGGGCTGAGCCCAGTGTAGGGTTTATTGCCCTAAGAAAGGAACATTCCTGTGTGTGCTACAGAAGAGCCCTGTGCCGCAGTAGTCTATGGGAGGCGTGCCTACAGTACCCCCATGGGAATAGTCCCGTACCTACACTGCCCTCCTTGGCAATCGCCCCATACAATGCATATGCTATTGTACTGGTTCTCCCAGTGACCACCGCACCCACCAGGTGTTAAGGGGTCTGCCCCCCGTGCTGTGCTAAGCAGGCAGGGGGGCTCAGCTCGCTGGGAGGAGGGGGCTCTCGGGGTGGCCAAAGACCGAGAGCCCCTGCGCTAGTCTCTGACCGTAGCCCCCTGCTGCCGTATGGGGTGGGAACCGCGCTGTGCTCTCGCCCATAGGACTAGCCCGCGCCAGCAGTATCTTATGGAGCTAGCCCTTGTGGACGGCATTTCCCAGCCCGGCCCTTCTGCCCCTGGACTGCAGGGCAAGGGTCCTACAGGCTGGGGCTGACTCTGCGGCCCGCGTTTGGGGGCGAGGGTGATGGGAGAGGAAGGACCGTCCAATGGTCAGAGCCCTAGCTCGGTCCCACGTCAATTCGCAGCTCTGCTCCGGACCCCTGGTGTGACCTTGGCCAGCATCTGAGGGTTCAGAGCAGCCAGCAGGGCCGGTGCCCCCGAAATCAAGGGCTCAGAGCCGCTAGTGAGGCCCTAGGAGTCTGTCCCCCTTTGCTTAGGGGGCCCCGGGAAGCAAATCAAACCAGAAATCTCTCTGCACAGAGTCTCTCCCACTTTGTTCACTGTCGCCCCCGAGCCTCGGCCCCTTCTGCCCATGGGGTGAATGCCATGCAATTCCCAGCCTGTCTTCGCTCTGCATCGCACGCAGCGATCTGGGTTTGGCAACGGGAGCCAGCGTCCGGGCCTGACAAACCGGAATGGCGGAGTGGGTTCATTACTCAGTCAGCCAGGGGCTGTTGCATCTCCAGGGTGTTCCCGGGCTTGGTACAGAAGCCAGGGGCCAGCCCCCAGGGGAGTGGGGACGTGAAGCTGTAAAGATCCCGTTGGGGACTCGGTGTTCTCTGCCCCCCACCCTCGGCAGAAGTTACCCCAACACCTTTGCCTTGTGGCTCCTGTACCCAGCAGTGCAATGAGGCACTGCAGGGTCCACCGGGGATCTCCAATCACTTGCCTGTTAATAGGTATTGGGTGCTGCACATCTGCATCAGGGACAGATGTGTTGGTCCTCTGGTCCCACATCTTTAATACACTCCATAATAGCGAATAACCAATTAATAATCATTTCCTTTTATAGCATCCTGAAGGATCCCAAACTTCTTTACAGATAGGTATAGTGTAATGACCCCTCCTATGCACATGCCTGCCCTCTGCTGGTTGGAATTGGAACTGTGTGTCATGGACCCTATACTGCCAAAAAGTTAAGGGATATTCTCCTTCATCTAAAGTGGTAGGGGGATGGTCCTGGGAGCAGGAGGATCTGAGTTCTAGTCCTGTTGTTGCTGTGAAGATCCAAGTGGCAAAGGATTGTTTACAGTTAATTAGTGTAGGCCCAATTTACCAAACGCTACGTTAATAGAAGGTTGGTGATAATAATTTGCATGTCTATGGCATCGTTAATCAGAGCACCTCAAAGTTCTCTACAGCCACACATTAGGGTGTGACTGTAGGGGGTAGGGAAGCATTATTGGCTTCATTTTCCAGAGGGGGAAACTGAGGAATAAAGAAGTGAAGTGATGAGTAAGTGGATGTGGTAGGCATGGTCCTGATGTCCAATGTTATGTGCTAAACACGTCACAACCAGAGAGTCCTGCTCTAACCATTAGGCAACACTTCTTTCAAGACCTGGGAATGGAATCCAGGAGTCCTGTTCGCACTCTAACCATTGGATCACACTCCCTCCAAGGTATGGAACCACTAGACCGCACTCATATGCCCAGCAAAACAAGCAAACAATTGCTTGGCTTCTCTTGACTGTCGAGAGACAAGGTGGGGAAGATAATATCTTTGACCTTGTCTCACTAATATCCTGGGACCCACAGGGCTACAATTACAGTGCATGCAAGACACAAAGAGAGCAGGCAACTAGACCCCGTTCCCCGCTCGTACACTCTGACCGGGCATCCCACCCTGTGGTTATTTTCCCACTGCAGCCCTCATCTGGGATACAGGGTAATTAGGATTTGAGCAATCATGGGGTGTGTTGTCCTTGTGTAATAATACACACACACACACACACACACATATGCTCAGGGTGTGTAGGCGGCTGTGGAATGTTAATCACCAACTACCCAACGCTCAGGCTCTGCGGGTCCATTAATACTCCATGCTTGTGCAATGATTAGGGCACTAAAGACTAAGGGTTCAGTCCCGGCTCTGCCACAGACGCCCTATGTGACTTGGGCAAGTCATTCAGTCTCCTTGTGCCTCAGTTTCCCCTCTGTACAATGGGGAGGATAGCCTCCCTGCCTCATACGGGGTGGGTCTGAGGATAAATGCATTAAATACTGCGAGGTGCTCAGATACTGTGGTGGTGTGAGCCGGATGAGTATGTCAGACAGATAGATTCTGATAGTTTAAAAAAAAAACAGACTTGGAACCAAATTGAAGCCCTAGTGTAAACAGATGCGACTCCAATGGATTTGCTCCCATCTGCTCTCCCATGGCTTAATTTATCCCTGTGTTTTCACCCCCCAGGCCAAAGTTGTCTGTGAGGGAGTTAAGTAGATGGGGAAACTGAGTCACAAAGCGAGGAAAGGACTTGCCCGAGACCACAGATGATGATAAAAAAAAGTCTAGCTCTTCTATAGCAGCTTTTCATCCATAGATCTTAAAGCCCTTTACAAAGGAAGGTGAGTATCGCTGTCACATTTCACCCAGTGGGGAAACTGAGGCACAGAGCTTCTGGTTCTTGCTGCTGAGCTCAGCCCATTAGACCGCACTTGTGTCTCTATCTTATGTCTTGAATGATATACACTTCTGGACTGATTAAGACGACTCACTGCAGTTGGTCTTTTGATCTGATCCTTCTTTCTCTTATTTTAATACTCGTTTGGGCAATTCCTGTATTAATTAATACACCAGAACTGTCATGTCTCTTTAGCAGCTGGTTAAACACCCACTTAACCACTCAGCACTCGCTAAACCCGGGTGTAATGCTGTCCCGATTCTACAGCTGCCAGTGCCTTCCCCTGTCATTAGGATGTCCTGCAGCTTTCCTGATTAAGCATGTCTCAAATAAGAAACATGGCATTTAACCATAGGGGCCAGCTATTCCTCTAGGGCCCTACCACATTCATGGTCCGTTCTGGTCAATTTCACAGTCATAGGAACTTAAAAATCATAAATGTCATGATTTCAGACCTTGAAATCTGAAATTTCAGGGTGTTGCCATTGTAGGGTATTGTGTGTATGGGGGTGGGGGCGGTTACAAAGTTATTGTAGGGGCGTCATGGTATTGCCACCCTCACTTCTGCGCTGCTGCTGGCGGTGGCGCTGCCTTCAGAGTTGGGCAGCAGGAGAGCAGTGACTGCTGGCTGGGAGCCCAGCTCTGAAGGCAGCGCCGCCGCCAGCAGCAGCGCAGAAGTAAGGATGGCCTGGTATGGTATTGCCACCCTTACTTTTGTGCTGCTGCCTTCAGAGCTGGGCCCTCTGTCAGCAGCCGCCGCTCTCCAGCCACCCAGCTCTGAAGGCAGCAGCTCAGAAGTAAGGGTGGCACGGGATGGGATTGTCACCCTTCTGCGCTGCTGCTGGCGGATCGCTGCCTTCAGAGCCGGGCACCTGGGCAGCAGCTGCCGCTCTCCGACCACCCAACTCTGAAGGCAGCGCAGAAGTAAGGGTGGCAATACCATGACCCCCCTACAGTAACCTTGCAACTCCCCCATGACCCCTTTTTGCGTCAGGTCCCCCAGTTTGAGACACACTTGTTTCCCCCCATGAAATCTGTATCATGTAAGGTAAAAGTACACAAAAGACCAGATTTCACGGGGGGAGTCCAGATTTCAAGGTCCGTGATGCGGTTTTCACGGCCGCGAATTTGGTAGGGCCCTAATTATCGTTAATCAACCCCTAGGGAATGGCACTCCTGCTGACAAGCCTGCAGCTATAAATAGACAATTGGCGATCCTTAGCTGAAAGGTGGTGTGTATTGTAAAGGCACCATGTTTTCTTTGTGCATCACATGCACCGGAATAATAGCTAGTGTCTTGAGAGCTAATGAACTGTCACTCCCCTTTGTGTTATCATCTCCCTTTGGGAGAGCAGGAAACTGAGGCACAAAGGAAGCGGTGGGTTGTCCCAGGTTACACAGGGCTCGGCTTTTGTAGAAACTGGCCTGGACGCTCCTCACATATTTGTGGTTTGCTTTAGATTAATCCCTAAGGAAAGCCACAGAGGATTGGGGGAGTGTCCGGACGAGCCTTCACAAGCTTGGTGACGCCCTGGAGTTAATTTGCAATCAAGTCACTGGAGGGAAAAGCTCCCGTGTAGACGTACTCAGTGAGTAGGTGATAACAGTGGGTTTAGAACGCAGGCCACCTTGCTCCCATACTGCCTTTGCTCAGCCATTCTGCACGCAGAGGTGGTGTGGGCTGCCCTAGTTTGTAGGGTGAGTCACTGGCAGCCATGGGATTAGAACTCAGGACTCTTGGCTCCCAGGTACTTAGCCCGTGGGAGCCCTGGCTCTGTTCGGCCATGCTGCCCTGTCTCCTCCAGCCCTGCCTGCTCTCACTTGCTCCGTGACGCTCTCTTCGAATCAGGTCGAGAGCTGGAACAAACACGACCAGAAGCTTTTCGAAGCCGTCGAGAAGGGGGACGTGGGCCGAGTTGCCGTCCTGGCTTCCAGAAAGACCGCGAGACCCACCAAGCTCAACGCCCTTGGCCAATCTGCGTACGTAAGTTTTCTTGTCCTCCTCCCTCCCGCTAACCCAGCTGTTTCTAACCGTACCCCAAAGGCCGGCGCTCAGGCGGTTAATTCCCACCAAGCCAGGACAAAACCCAGCTCCCTTCCAATCGCATCTCCTTACCTAGTGAGTGTCACTTTAAGATAGGGACGTAGGATTTGCTTCATGCACCAGATCAGAACACTGGCCCATCGGGCCCAACATCCCTCCCACCCCCATCTTCCTATTCCAGCCCAGCCCATTGGCCAATCCAGTCCAGCATCCCCACCTCCTGCCATAGCACACCTGCCCGTTGACAAGTGGGGTGGGCTTGTGGCCAAGGCATTGGGCTGGGACTCAGGAGACATGGCTCTGCCATTGACCTTGGGCAAGTCCTGGCTGCTTTCCGTGCCTCAGTTTCCCCACCTGTAAAATGGGAAGAACAGTCCTTTCTCCCACTCTTTGTCTGGTCTATTTAGAGTCTAAGCTCTTCAGGGCAGGGACTCTCACTCTGTGTCTATACAGCAACTAGCACATTGGGGCCCTGATCTCAGCTGGGGTCCTCAAGTTGCTTCTGGATTTTAAAAAGAGGAAGACTAACTGGAGCATGAGGTCTGTTTTCCCTCCCTCCTACTGTACCAGGGCAAAGCTTTGATCTCATCTAGCCAGCTGTCTCCAGCCCAGCCATTCCTGGATCCTGCCCCTAACAGAGATCACACTGAAGGCCGGGGGGTAGGGGGTGGGGTGGGGAATGAAATCCCCATAATGCATCTGGCTAATTGTGCAATGCAGCACATGGTAGCTGACAGTTCCTTCCTGAGCCGCTGGTGCCCTGAACCACAGGACTTGAGTGTCCCTATCTTACACCACATGCCCCCAGATGTTATCCTCCCATTAACCTGAGCAATGTGCTGCAGTGCCGGTTGTGCAGCTGGCGCTGGTTGACAGCGCGTCAAATGATGAGCAGCATTATGATGAGTAACCCCTTCACCCAGCAAAGGCTGCCACGGGTGCCATAGGTACTAACTAGATCTAGGACTAGAACCCAGGAGTCCTGGCGCCCTGTTCCCTGCTCTGACCACTTGCTTACGCTCCGCTTCGACCTAAGACTAGAACCCAGAGTCCTGGCTCCTTATTCCTGCTCTAATCAAAATAGCTCACGCTCCCCTGCCAGGGATAGAACCCAGGAGTCCTGTTCCATGCTCTAACCAACTAGATCCCACCCCCTTCCCAGAGGTCGGAATAGAACCCAGGAGTCCTGTTCCCTGCTCTAACCAACTAGATCCCACCC